ATCTCTGCCAAGTGGCTTCCCTCATCATTTGATGTTTGTGCCTTTATGAGTCCAATTGCCTGGGAGGCCCTCGGAGGGAAAGGGGGAGACTAAGAGGAACGCTGGATCAAGCAGGTGCAGATAAATGAGCACATTGTGGTGCACAATGCAGCAAAGGCAGCGTCTCCGATAAACTAAATATAGCTTAGGCTATTTCAACAGTCACCAAAATTGCCAATTGTCTGTGTTTTACAGTGGTGAATATCAGTTGTGTGTCTATGGCTAGATACAGTGCACATACTACCTCGAGAGCAGTGGTGTGGTGATTTTTTCTTCTTCTCTTCTGTATTACACATCATGGTATGTGTAGCTACCGGTCACAAACATTAGCGCAAACTCTCCCCTCAAAGGGTTCAAATGACCGGTGAAGTTCACGAGTTCATTCAACCGTAGTGGAGAAAATGGGACCTCCCGAAACCACAGCTTCCTCAAACAGGAATTGTGAGGTGCACGAACTATATGAGTTATGTATACGCTCGAGTTTGCTTGATGACATTTAACCCTAGATTGTGCTCTGTTGTATTCTCCAATGTAGAGTAACGTTGATCTTTCATAAACGCAGCTTTTGCCATTTCCCAGTATCCATGCGCCCACAGTTCTCCGTGCACTTTTCGGCTTTTGTTGCACGAACTTTGTCAGAATCCATGTTTAAGGTGTTCATTTTGGGAATTACTCTGAGAGCCCGAAAGAGGAACACGTGGATATGAGAACGAAAGCAACGCAAACACGTCATGTTGACTGTGTTAAGTGAACGCGTTTTGGGGGAACGCATCGCTAGCAGGGAGGAATGACAAAATGGGCTGGCGATGGAATTGGAGCCAGAGGAGGAAACGTTCCCTGAGACTAATTCACGGGGTTTTTTTCTTTGGGAGGGGGGTTAGATCGCGTAAGTATTAATGCGTCGTTAACCCGCCACCACCCGACACAGCCAATCAGTGAGGTTTGCCACGTTAGTTACTACTTCAGCCCACCGGTGTGTTGGAGAGTAAATCCACAAACCACTTCCAGTCTGTCTTCTTTGGTTCTTTCGGTAAGGTCACGTAGAATGAGAATAAAATAATAAAATAACACAATTAAATTCTCACGACGTTTCGGCCACAACGCCAGCGGCCGTCTTCAGGTGAAAGGTCGGGACGACAGAGCTTCAATGAACGATGTTAAGACTTTTAAGCTTGCGTTGTGGCCGAAACGTCGTGAGAATTGTATTGTGTTATTTTATTATTTTATTCTCATTCTACTTGACCTTACCGAAAGAACCAAAGAAGATGAATCCTTGCAGTCACGAAAGCTTTAAATCGAAATCTTCCAGTCTGAGTACTGTGTGACGTTTCGCTGGTGATTACATCAAGCAGCGTCATCGGGCGATGTTGCCGGTTACCGTGAGCCAAAGGCGGGCGGGGAGGGGGGATTGTTGTAATTATAGAAGTCAGTTGTCGTGGGGGGCGGTGGAGGGGCGGGGGGGGCGCGCTCCATCGATGGCACGCGCGAGCACGTGCGCAGGTGGAGCGGCATCGTGGCGTCACGTGGTGCCTCGATGAACAGTCACGTGGGGACGATGACGTGGGGATGGATCGTGACCGATGACGATTTAGTTATTTTTTTTGTGTATTTCGTGAAGTTTAATTGTTATTATTAAGTTGCTACTGCGGCGAACTTATATGTGACGTAACAAGTTAATTGAAAAAGTCATAATAAATTATTACCGTCACTCAAGAAAGGAAAAATCTTAACCGGTTTCACACCTGATGATGACTGCTTGTGTTGCAGTCGAAACGTCGTGAGAATTGTATTGTTTTATATATATATTTTATTGGTTTATTGTTTCCCTTCAACGTGACTTTACCGAAAGAACCAAGAATACGGTCTTCTCACATCAAATATGTAATTTTATCAAGATGTTATACGCTTGCCAGCTTGTGCACATTAATGCTGCAGCTGGACTACATAGCGGTTCAAAATAATGTCTTCGTTAGACGCAAATCATGAGGTAGAATTTCTTTCACAGAGTTTCTGCAGTACAATAGTTTTCATTTCAAATGTTTCTACGAAACGTGGGCCGATGTATTGGCGACAATATATTTCCTTGTTCTCTCCCTTGCATTGTTTATCATTCTGTCTTGTTTGCAGTGTTTGTTAACTCCGCTACGGTTGGACTTGCATTACCATTGGTTTCGCATATTCCATACAACAATTAATTAGTGCACGCACAATGCAATGCACGTATCTCAAGTGTAAGAACTGATTTTCACTGCTGGGTCGCTGCATCGTTTAATCCCACAAGGTCCTGAGGCAAGAGGGATTGCAATTGGTGAAAAATGGAGAAGCTTTATCATATCAATGAAAGCAAATATAAATGAAGACTCAAGCAGAGTGGCTTATTAGCATACACTTTAGTACGATTTACGAACATTTCACTGCATAAAACAAATTACTTGCTGTTACCACTGCAGATTTCCGTCGACCACCTCAACGATGTTACTGACATATTTGCGAGTCTAGCCATGTATTAGAAGAACAGCATGTGGCGACTAATAGTGGCTTCAGACACAATTTATACTGTGACAAATATAATCCATCTTGTTTTTTCTCTCCACTTAAAAAGTGCAACAATTCTAGAAGAAACACGCATGCACAACAAGGGAAACATCCCGCCATACAAACTGATATGGTTGTTGCTTTTAGTGTATGTATGTTGAACTTCTTTCGTACCGTACGTAGCCAACCTTGCTAATCGGAGGTGCAACTGTTAAGGATGGAACAGCGGAGTCGTGTGGTCAGCACAATATCTGGCCACTTTTGTCTTCCTAGTGCAGATTTTTTTGGTTTTAACCACACCAGGTCTTATAGAATTTAAGTTCAAATCAGCCTTGTAGGGAACCAGTAAAAGTTATGTTACCACTGACCACTGATATCAGCCGTGGTCGAGAAATGGAGATACATCGCAAGATGCAGAGTACAGTTCACTCACCGCTATACCACTGCTCCCCACACAACGCAACTCCCACACATACAAACACCCAGTAAAAAGTGAAAATTGGGCATGCTAGACTGTTGGCATTCTCAAATGTAACTGTCATAAGTTATTTTTAGACAACAAAACGAAATAAATCTACTCGCCATTTATGTTCTTTTCGACTTAACAGAATTGTTTTTTCCAGTTTTGAATGCCAATTTGGAACAACATGACTAGTCCAAAACCAATAGTTTGCTGCTAAGTATGTTTTGTGTGTGCATCGTATGGATATTTTGTAGTGGCTGTGGCTCAAAGCATTGCTTTAAAATGTGTTAAGAGTAGAGTAAGAAAAATACTGAGAAATAAAAACCTCTCTTGGAGAAGAAACCTTTTGCAAGTTAAACATTCTCCTAAAAAATTCAAAGAAAGGTCCTTAATAAATAGCTGTTAAAATAAACCTACGATGATCTCAATGGCATTGAAATGTTTCAGGCAAAAATATATATTTAAAAAAAAATACTTAAGTGTACAGATGTTATTGCTGTGAGTTGAATGTAAGTCATGGTATTTTTGTATTATTATTCCAGTAATATAAAGTGGTGCTCATAAGATAATAAAAAAGGATCCGGATATGTGCTGCAAACTGCATAGCCACATACTGCCTTGATGAAACACAGCTTTAGGTAAATTGACGTTCCCAAAATGCCACACCGCAGCACGCTTTGGCAGCCATCCCACACGGCACAAGCGAGAGAAATCAGGCCCTGCCCAATTCACCCTTTCTTCTTTCTTCTTGGGCTGTGACTGAGGGCTTGCATGAGTGCTCTGGACCGCACCTGTTTAAACACTGGGCAGAGTGGAGGGGCCAGGAGCTTGCACGAGCCTCTGAACCCAAACTTTCAGCGGAAGAGTCCTTGCCCATTGTGCAGTCAACGTCTCGGTGTGACACGCGCCTAATATATCTGCGTATTATAAGCGGGCAACTTGCACACGTTGTAAAATGCTGGTCACCGGTGGAGTTTTTTTTTGCAACAAAACCACGGCGACAAGGTCCAAACTTGGCCGCTGTTCACTCTTGAGAGCTGTGTTCTTCCACCCTTGCCCAAGTGTGTTGTTGTCTAAGTGTAGCTTGTGGGTAAGCGCCTGAGCGGAGGTAACAAGGCAGCCTGTGAAACTATCGCGGTAGATGCTGGCAAGATATAATATACACGCACAAAAGTTCAACAACAGTCTGATAAGCCCTTTATTAAAGTGAGACACCAAACAAGGGCTCTCAAAAATGGTTTAAATACGCAGTAGATGACAAACTTGAGAATAATACACGCACGCATACCTCTTAACAATGTGAATGCGACAAACAATACATGAAATAATTAATTCCTACTATTATTCACGTGCTTTACTTATTTATTCATTTTTACCCGTGCGTTTAACCATCATGGTGTTTGCCGTGAATTGATATAACAATGAATAAATACTTAAAATGGACACATTCTGCGCTTTTGTCAGCACCTCTAGATGAGGGCATCTCTATGCCAGGGAGCATAGACATGGAAGCATAGAAGTACAGCACAATGGTGGATTTGCTGCACTGCCCTCAACTGCCCATGGTGGTCACCCATACCAAGCACTGTCCAGGCTTAAACCCACTTAGCTTCCGAAATCTGACGAGATTGCACGCATCATGGCCGATGTGGTCGTTCGTCACAATCTATGCTGTGCTTAGCATTAAATAACTGTACAAATATTTTCAATTACTGTAATAGTGTCCGTAATAAAATGTAGTAAAAAGGTATACTTAACATGTTGTGAATTTGGAACGGTCAATGTTGGTTTTAGTCATAGGCAGGAATAGATAGGTAATGCATTGCTAAAATCACGTTTTTTTTTATGGATACAGGTAAATATAACTAAACTTTATGTCACATCTTAATTACAAATCATGTTGCACAATTTAGAATATGCACTAGAATCATGAACACATTTAAAAAGTGACATCAAAAACTCATTGTTTACAATTCAAGTACAGTCTTTAATTACAATTAAAGTACAGTAATGAATGTTACAGGCCATGCTTTTTACTCCACAATGTAGGATATACTTACGTATCCAGAATGCATTGCTCTGTGTTACAAGGCGTGAAGCCAACACAACATTGAGTGAAACATGAGTAAAGTGAATTTATGAAATACAAATACGCCAAATTGCTTTGTGCTTATGTATTGAAGCTGGGTGTACAGCGGTGGGGCAATTGTTCGCCACTGCACAATGAACCCCACAACCCGAGTTAAATCCCTGCCCCACAACTAACATCAGTGGCTGCTTCTACCCCCCCCCCCCATCACCAACCGGCACAGTGACTAACTCACGCAGCTTTGAGAGGTCTTCATCCACTGGTGAATTGGATAAGGAATCTATCTACAGTTTCGATGACAATTAAAACATATCAACAAAAAAATATGCGAACTTTCCACGTGTATAGTTGCTGAAGAAGGCGTGAGTTTGGATGTTATTATTTTATCTTTATTGGCAAAAACAATCGCTTGTGGATTTGTATTATTTTTCCTATCTTGTATCCGCACATTTAAAATCACATTGACTTTTACACCAGAGATTTAAATCCGATACATTTATGACAGATTTACTGAAGAAAATTGCCCAAAAAAATATATTAAATTATACTAATGATGGGTGTGCTTATAAAATACAAAATAACATGCCTGCTGATTATATTATAAATTCAACATAGCTAATTATCTTAGATGTAACTATAAAACAAACAAGAGCAAATGAGACATTTCCTTTTCCATTTCATCAGTAAACAGTTTGAGCTTTTTTTTTAATGAGGCAACTCGAAAAACCCATGGCATTTTTTTTTAATTTTTAGCACACTTATTGAAAGTACAGTTCTGTACTGCATACGCGTACTCAGCATAGAACATAAATAATTGAATGAATGAAAGGTTATTAATTTTAAAAAAATCCTTTCGCGTAATTATGATTTCAATACATCTCTGTCAGATTTATTTATGGATTCAACATACTTCAATGTTCGGCGTTTTTTTTTCTTCTTCATGTGAAATAGGACTTGTAAGGTAGAACCACCGTTGCGTATCCATAGGTCCAGTATTTGCTTGCAGGACCCTGTGGAAAGATGGTCTCGGCTATGAGCCAATGCCCTCTGCATGAACGGGCGCTCAATGTGCCCTTTTGAGATGGCGCACGCGCTTGCATTAGGGAGACAAGTTCGCGTCCATGACCTTTCTCGAGACGTGAGCTCTTGCCCTCGAAGGACCTTCTGCACATCTCCGGTTCGCCGGTTCGAAATCCAATCCCGGGAGTGAGCATCCTGGAAGCACATTTTCCTTCAAAGAAGATACCGGGCCAAGTGATCTCGCCCACCCTGTGGACATCACAGATCCCATGACGCTCAATGCATGAGTAGGCCTCCTCCTGCTTGGTGTCACAGCCACTCAATAATACAACAGGTCACCATACCTGAAAACCAACAAGCCGTTCCTGTAAACCAACCACACCTAATCTAATTGGGTTAGCTATGCACCTTGAAATGTAAACACACGTACAGCATATTCTTGGTTCTTTCGGTAAAGTCACGTAGAATGGAAACAATAATATAATAAAAATAATAAAAATATTATTTTATTGTTTCCCTTCTACCTGACTTTACCGAAAGAACCAAGAATATGAATGCCTGCAGTCACGAAAGCTTTAAATAAAAAAAATCACATACAGCATTTAATATTAAACTCATTACACTACTAGAAACTCTTTTGCGTTGCTTTCATGTGCTACGGTTACAACAACGATAATGGTAATATACTCATTGTTTCCAGAAAACATGTATTGTCTCGTTGCCTTGTGGCATTAAAATAAATCAACCCTCGATAGCAGCTTGACCCACAAGCATGTGGCAACATATTTATGTCTCGTCCTTGAGTTGCCCCTTCATTACTAGGCCTCGCTTTTATAAAATCACGTCCTATTTCTGACCTTAGCCTGTTTGGTCCTGTTGTTTTCACACCTAGTCAGCACCCTAGACCCTTATCATGACACTTAATCTCTCCGGCAGAATGTTACGTACCTCGGAAACATGATAAGACAAGCCAATGCGGTGATTTTGTGTTGCCAGTTTGAAAGTAATCATTGGTTCCCACGTGCCTATACGTGACCCATTCCCCAAGTCAATTGAAGCCATTTATGCATTGGGAATTAATTTGAGCATGTGAAGAACAAACTGCCGGAGGCAAAACATTCAAGAGAACACGTTTCGACTTTCTCCGATTCCCTGATCTGATAAGTAACCGTTCTTATTCAAGCGAGGATATTACTTGGTTCATTTTCATGCTTCACCGTTTGTGACTGAATTAACACGACTTATTAACTCAATTAACCCACTGTAAGTAACTGGAGGAACTGACGCCAGGCTCAGGGTGCACTTACATTATTAGCATTATTTTCCTTGTGGACATGAGCGTGTTTCTGCTTCAGCTCTCTGTTTAACTCGCCCGAAAGAACAGTGCCTGAGAGATTCAGGCAGCGACAGCAATTTGAGACCCTTCTGTATCTTAGTTCCTTTTTTTTGCTCATGTGACAAGGGAAAAGAAATAATATTGCCCTTGCTGAACTCCACAGAGTATGGTCTCTGCTTCGGAAAAAAAAACATTACGTGCCTCTTGCCTTGAGTAATACAGCCGAGAAGGTTACAGGCATTGCACTTTTAATGTCAACATTCCCGGTTTTTTGTAGAGTGGAAATATGTTCTCACAATCGGAGGACACACTATTTTATTCAAAAATAAACCTCTCAATTTGTTAATAATATGAATAATAAGTGTTAGGATTGTAAAAAAAAATGTGTGTGTTTATAATAGATGGAAAACGATTCAATATATTTCACGAGCGCACTCAACATCCACCGAATTTATCCTCGCATTTGATATTGACATTGGTGTTTAACCAAAGGATTTGGCAAATTTTGGTGATTATAATTCTCCAGGAGCCAATCACACGTGCGCCTTCCGCGGAGGTGGCCTGTGATGTTTTAACACTAAAATTTGCTGCTCAAAATGTGTGAGCACACGAAAGCCTCCCGAGCCTGTGGATTTCCGTACCGCTGGATCTCAAGTGAGTTGAAGGCTTCGTTTTAATCGATTAGGCATGTTTGCAGCAAAGACACACTTCTCTAGAGAACCTCAGCCTGTGCGTGCACTACATCTGTTGTTTAAAAAAGACAAATTTCATGTTTTCAAAGCAGTACTTGTTTTAATTATATTATGATCTTTATTATTATTATTACTACTACTACAATATTATATTTACTGAATACATTTCACGGCCGATAATGGAGTGCAGAATGTTAATATTAAATTCAATTATTTTGAATGTACATAACAAACTGTTACAGTTATATTTTATCGGTATGCTTTGCCAATGTTTTTGTTTTAAAGGTTAATATTTGACACGTATCCATAACATGTGCAGGTGCAAACTATGATTGGTTCTGCAAAACATGACTGTTTAAGGTTTCAGTGAGATATTAATTAAAACAAAACATGCCGATAGAGACGCCGTCATGAAGTACAGTATAACTTTCAAATTGACAATACTATAAATGGTTAATCTAAACGGGATCTAAGATCTGCCTCTCACATCGTCCACAGAGGCGTTCTTGTTTACGTGCTGAAAGCGATGCTCCAGGCGGAAGAGCCGAAGCTATCACCACCTCCAAAAAACATGCCAAGCTCAACTGACCGCTGATGCAGAAAATGCGAACAACCTTGTTAACCCTGCAAACTCCCAGTCGTCCTTGTTTACACGTCCAAACCCTTACGCGATGAAGTAAACACTAGGGCAATGATTTACGAAACACTGTTTCATTATCGCATTGCACTCCAATGAACGAAAGCCACAAAATTAGCTCAGATTGGGCGGCATTTGCAATAACTAATTTATTAATTAATAAAGAGAACAAGTGCTCCCAGCACACCTTCATAGAAGAATGTATGATGCTACTACTTTTTTTTTAAACAGATGTTTAGATGACAGTAACACTGTTTGATTTTGAACAAAATATAATGCTATCTTTTCTCACATTTTGTGATGTGAATTATAATGAATGAAACAGATTTCTACCCCAAGGGGGTATAGGGGTAGATAGCTACACAGATTTTTTTGTTAATTCGCTTCGTGCAAAAAATATAATGAACACTTTTCTAAAAAATGCAGAATGTAATCCTGACGACCAATTTTTCACTGAAATGTGCAAAACAATTTCACTGAAATGTGGAAAAAATTTCAACAGCACGTCGCAATGTGAGCCTTGACCAAGGCCACAAGGATACCATGCAGCAGAGTTTGAATCTTCTGCACAGGGGAAGGCAAACTCGACATAACTGAGGATTCCCTTCTTTGCAACACAAATAAAATAACCGCATTGCAATGTGAACATCATTTACGTTCACACCTTTATGTGTGTCCTATATATGCAGAACCATCCAAAGCCTGATTACGTTATACAAATTCTACATATATATTAATAGAGCAGCTATCCATTCAAGTGGTGTTGGGTTTCACTAAAACATACAAAATAATTATCATTCTGAACTTGCATGTACTACACAAAGCAACTTTACCCTTTGCTTTGATGACATTTATACCAGATAGACCAATTATGACCAAATATGGCCTATCTATATAGAAAATCATACACAATGTCGTATTATTAAACATTTCATAATTTGACCATTCCACCTCCACACAATCACCTACTCCTGTCAGTAATGTGGTAGGGCCTTGTCGATTGCTTGCTCGAGACACTGCTGGTGGAAGGCCCTCTAGTGAGCCCCTATTTGGACTACTCTACCATGCTGAGCAGACATCGTGATATCGGTGGGAGTACCCACCACACAGAACCTCCCGATGAACAACGTGGGGGCTTATGTACTATATATATAACAGTACAAATTCCAACACCTTGGCAAGTTTGTTGTACTGAATCATCAATATGACAGGTATTAACTTTGTATGTACGTGTGTTGAACTTCTTTCGTACCGCACGTAGCCAAACGGTGCAGATTGGAAGGACAACAAACTTCAACAAACTAAACACAAAAACATCTTTGGACATACACTATTTGGAAGGCAGATGTAGAAAATCTAGGCATTTACATTTACAGGGTTGAATGTGTTAAACTTGTTGCAGGATTACACACGTTAAGCACTGCACGTCAGCGAGCGACTTGCAGTGACCGCTGTGGGTTTGTTATTGTACGCAGCATATAGGTAGGCATTCTGCACTAAATGTATTCCCAGAGTATTTAAAGGTTACGTTTGCAGGTGGGTGAAGCACCGCTCAGAAACCAGCAATTTTCCAGCAACTGCTGTCTAAAGCAATGATTGCTGACAGAAAGCAGCCGTTGTGCTTTGTTCTATAATTTGCTACATTAGCACCCCCCCCCCTTGCATAGGTGTGGGAAGTATCATCGTGTCCACTGCTTCATAAAATGTGGTTGGGCGCAAATTAAGTTGGATAAGTTGGAAACAGTATCTGTACAACAAACAGCCGAGAATGAAAATATATTTTCTGCTCAGTTTGATGGAGTGTGGGGCAATAAGACGAATCCCTTCTGGTTGTCAGTTTGAAATGTATTTTGTTTGCGATCATGTTACATAAATTAAATGGTTTTCAAAGAGATTTTCCTTCAGCATCCATTGTGCAGTGCGCATTATAGCGTAACTAGTTCACCTCTGATGTGTAGTCAGATATATGAAGCATGAACCAAAAGTACCTGAGGCACAGCTCTCTCATCGGTGCTTTTTGAATTTGTCCATTTAAAATTATCATGAAAATACAAAAAAATGGTACATCATGATTCCCTGAAGCATATAGAAAGGGTTGTATTGTGATGCTCAGAATTATTTCTACATAAATACTTATAAAATCACGTAGCCTCTTGTGCGGGGCAACCAGCCTTCGCCTTTTTTTTACCTACATGACTTTACCGAAAAAAACAAAGAGTATGGATCCTTGCAGTCAAGAAAACTTCAAATCTAGAATTAGCCTTAGGCTTAGAAATAAAGCAACACTTAAATAAAGAGGCAGGCAAGCAGACAGCCAGGCAGGCAGACCTCCTGGTATATAACTTTCGCAGCTTAGCATTGTGACAGAGGATCCCTGAGTCTGACGGAACTTACAAGCGGCCTCAACGCATCATGAGGATTAGCCCAGGGTATCCGTCCCCCGGTGCTCAAGTGGATGATGTCTTGAGAGCCGAATGATCATGTGCTTGGCACTTCTAAGGTGGCAGTAAAAAAACAAAATATATATGGTCAGACCATCAGGCAACCTTTAAGTGAGCAATTTACACCAACGTTAAAACACCGCAAAGCTTTTCACTTTACCGTTAACTTGAGCTCATGGTAAATAAAATGTCAGGCTTGCAGCTATCTGGAAAAGAAGTGCTCCTCAATATCTATAGCCAAAGAAAGTTTCACTGCAGTTATTGTTGTAAATAGATTATTACGAATAATTGTTACAGGTTAGATCCTGCAAGTACATTCCATGCACGTCACCATGAGTGTGGGACACACTCTACTGAAAAGTTGTCTATGAATGCTGCAACGACAACAACAACAACAACAAAAACCCCATCAAGCTGTGCCATTGCATTACTTCGTACATTCCGCAGATTCGGCAGTCATTCCGGCAACTTTAACACTGCACAGTATCACACCGAGCCAACGTGTTTATGTTGACTTAAAGGCACATAATGCATTGTGGCATGCATGGCTGGCGGGATGATTGGAGGGGGCAGGGGAGTCTGGGGGTCTGTGCTCTAGACGTGTCCAGGCCAGCCCTCTGCAGAGGCCCGAGACTGCGCAAATTGGTGCAGTGAGGCCCGTGACTGTGTAAATTAACGTGGGGAAAATCACATCCCACCTGCCCTCTGACATAATGACCACACACGCATGGCACTTTGACCAAATTAAGTTACGTTCCCATTTTGTCGTTTTAGGTTTTACTTTTTTTCTTTTCCAAGGCATGCAAACTGTCAGTTTTTACCCACAATTTAAATAGCAAAACTTGCTCAAATAAATAATATCACATCAAAATGGATGGAGGTCCCGCCATGAAACGTCGGTCATGGGGGTTGATTGGCCACACTTCACCATACTAGTCATTGTGGGTTGTTAATGGGTTTCAATGTATATTTTAGTTATTTATTTTCTCAAGTCGTATTGTTTATACATGTATACACAGTATTTTGGCACGAATCCCGCCTCTGAATGGGAAAACGCATACATTATTGTGAACTGGTTGGAAGGGTGGTGGAGTGGTAAGCACGCTGCACTGTGTGAATCTGATGACATGAGTTTTATTCCCTGCCATGGCTAACATCAGTGGAAATTGATTTCTATTGAAACTGGTGGCGGGCCTCCTCTTTACCAATCCTCACTGATCAACATGGTGAAATATGGTCAAACAACTCCCATAACGGACATGGTGTGGGAAGACCTTTATCTTGCTTTGTAAACCAAGCATATTCATCGGTAATAAATGTTAATCCAAAGAAAGAAATGTTAATCCACAGATTTCTCAAAAATTCAACACTAGTTGCCAAATAAAGGCTTTGCTGTAATATTTAAAGTTCGGTTAACTTGTATGTATATATATTGAACTTCTTTCGCATTGTACATAGCCAACCGTGTTAATTGGAGGTGCATTCCTCCAAATTCTAAAGTTAACCAACCATAAACCACACATTAAATTGTATACCAGTACTCTGGAAGCTTGATAAATAAGCAAACATTATACATTTCTCTCTCCACATAAAAAAGCATGTGTTTTTACACTTCCCGTGAACCACAAGGCCTTCTGGGAGTATAATTTCAGTATCATTAGTTCAACAAAAGCAAACTTTGGACCGGTTTTGACATACAGTGTCTAATCAGAGGAGTCAGGCTTGTTTGAACAAATGCTGGTAAACTGAGAGATGTCATAAGCAAGGACCCTCTCTGTAAGATATTGGTCTCAGTTCAACGCAAAATGATATGACACATAATACAAAATAATCATGGGCACCGTTGTGGACGCTGTTGATTATTTTTGTGTTGTGTAGAAGGTTGGTTCATTTGTGTGAGAGTATAAGTTTGGATGCAGACACACTTGTGTATATGTATGTTTAGAATGTAGTATCATTATTGTGCTTCCCACTCGCTTCTCACTCGCTTCCCACTCCACTTGTTTTCTCATTCATTCACACCTGATGACGGTTGCTTGTGTTGCAAACGAAACGTCGTATTCTATTATTTATTTTATGGGTTTTTTTTCTACGTGACTTTACCGAAAGAACCAAAGAGTAATTCCTGCAGTCACGAAAGCTTCAAATCAAGTTTGTTTTTGATAGTGCCTAGACTTTAGAATAAAAAAAGAACTTTAATGCACACAGCAATCTTTTATGTCTGGCATACTGATATCAAAGTTATGGGCCAAAATGCATGTTTTTTTTGCATTTGAACAATGAATGGAGACCATCAAATAAAGCGCCACATGTACATAATGGGAGTATTCATTTGTATACAGCTTCTGAAAATTATTTCATCTCGTATCTTTATATTTTGACTGGGTGCCGTCTTTGCCATTGTATATGGCTGAAGGTAAAGCTTCATTATACTGCACGTGCCCACTGAAACAAATGCCCGATTTATCTGTGAAGTTTTTTCCTTTCAAACAATTTGGGACGTTGAAAGCCCAGACTGCTCAGAGATTTCTAAGCATGTTTCCTGCATGGCAACACAGAATTCTATTCATTGAGTGAACGCTGTATGGTAACAGCGCTACATAAACACGGCAGTATGTTTTTTTTTTTACGATTTACACGTTCCCGCTGAAAACGTCCCAAAATCTTGTAAGATGCCTTTCATTATAAATTAAAATCTGGAAAGGGTGGATGGGGGGGGGGGTGGTAATTTTCAGTATATTTGGTATAATGAATAATTTTACATGCTCAATTGAAATGTAATGGAGGGTCCCTGCTGCTTCTCAGAACCCTAAGAGCATGCATCTCCCCAAGAGAACCTCGGAGAGTGGAGATATGTATAGGCTCCCAATCTGGCTTCAAAGAAGCTTCTGTCTCTTTGGGAGCTCATCTAGGTTATGTTGCCAATGAACATTCATCCAGTCGATGAATTTCCTTCATCTCTGCTTGTTCAATGGGACAGACAAGGTCATCTTTCATTCTGAATATAGCTTCAACTTTTATTCGAGTATTGTAAACGTCCGAAATACAATTGCAATTGCGCTCAGCGATACAGTAATCAGTACAACGCAAAAAACGTTTTTTTATATACTAGAAAATATTTGGCCTACTCTTCCATGCCTGCCAAACGTCTTGCGAGATTTGGGAGTACTAAATGTGGATTAAACGTATGCAGTCACCATTGTAAATTAAGAAACAATTATTTTAATTACACTGAGAGGTCGACAAAGGAACATTTGGTTTACAGATAAGGCAAATTAGAAACATAACTTTGATAATTAAAGTAAATATATGTACGTATGTTGAACTTCTACAGCACCGTACATAGCCAACCATGCTAAATGGGCATGGGAAGGACACATAGCTAAAATGAACGATGGGAGGTGGTCAAGAATTATTCACAGTCAAAGAAAGAAACCCGATGGAGATGGATCCATCGCATCCACTCACGTGCATGTGCCAGCTGGAATTACATATCGCGGGACCAAGACGTCATGGATTGCGGAGGGCTTCATTCAGCAGTAGATTGAGCATGACTGATGATATACCCTAGCTACTTTAATATAACGTTTTATTTCTATACGCTTGTTTACCCAGCAAAGCCTCACTGAGTCTCATGACTCTTGTTAAGGAGGGTCCTGCCAAGTTTTCGCATTAGGGGGCGATGTTGCTATGTGTAGTCCCAATTCAGAAATTTACCAGTAATTGTTCAACATTGGGACGATTGGCCAATACCAGTTACCATGTAAAAAAAATCAATATTTTACGGGGGGGGGGGGCGCATAGAATTCATACAGGGAGGGCACAAAGAAAAGAGCCCTAGTTAGGAATCGAACATAGACGCGAATTGCCGTAAGGCCCAAGTGGCTCCACTGTGCCACCGTGCCTTTAAATTATTGAATCTATGAACTTGGGGAAATATATTGGGTTTTTATTGTAGAAAATGCCTTTTCGTAAAGTGGCTGGGTCATGGAGTGGGTTAGCAACTGGGCCGGGTGTGCATGCAGTTGACAGTTTGATTGCCATCACCTGCAGGGAATTACCAAAGTGTGCCACCCGTGCAAAGAGGACACTAAAGCCCTTGCAACGTCATTTACAGGAGTAGGCCATTACATTCCAGTGTGAAACTCCAAATTACGCAGGATGAAGCAATAACCTGCAGAGTTACGTCGACCCAGTTTCTCCAGTGCCAATGGGCTCGCAGGTGGTTACATGACGAACAATTGTAGATTATAATTTGTAAAATAAAAAAATATTGAGGGTTTAAAATCTTGACCTAAAGCTTTCTTGACTGCAGGAATTCATATTCTTTGGGCCATTCGGTAAAGCCACGCAGATAGAAAAATATATATTTTTTAAAATGTCTCCTGCCTCGGCAGCTCTCTCGCTATGTTTTCACCTGATGACGATTGCTTGTGTTGCGATCGAAACGTCGTGATAATTTTTTTATGTTTCTATCTACGTGGATTTACCACAAGACCCAATGAATATAATATTTAGGGTTTTGTTTAATGAAAAATAAGTATTTTTAAAAATGCAGGATGGTCTGCCATTGTCATTTATGTAACCAGGCAAGAACCCAACGGGACTCAAGCAAGACGGAAACTTTGTGAATACCATTAATAGTATGAATACGTTTAATTCCGTTTATTAATACACTGCTAGGTGAGAGTTCATCACCATCTTTCAGTCATGGGGGTTTTTGACCATACTTCACCATTCCGGTTCACAGCGCAATATGCTAACCACTTCATCACCGCTCCCCCGCCCATGGTAACATATAGAATTAAATGTGTAAATATATGTGAGTATTATTTTTCACATGTATGCCAACGATGTAGGCGATTACTACAATATAGCATGTGACTATAACGCACATCGTTTCTGTGGTGTGTATATATGTGCTGTTTGGGCACTACAGTGCAGTTATACCGCACTACTCATTTGGGAATGAAACCTCATGTTTGCACAAGCAAAGGAGGGATTGAATCCAGTTTTAAATTAACAGCTAACGAGATTCTGCTAATGAGTAACTTAAATGTGAGCACAGGAATGCTTCAAGGATGTTAAACCAATGTCATTCTTATTTTATGAAATATAGTTATAGGCAATATATTAGATATGAATTTAATACAAACGTATGAATAATCTGCATTGAAGCATTAAATATTCCCAGTGCTTGAAATGCTACCAAAGAACCAAATGTCCTTAAAATATGGCAATAAACGTTGTTGTTGATTTTACGAAATTATTTTGGGTTTAAGTGCAAGACAGCGTGGCCACACAAATTGGCTACTCCTTTATGGGAATTTCGAACTGCGCAGGTATCCCTTTGCACACCATCAGCTCAGCCCTGAGGAAGAAAATTACTGGCCTCATTAATGAGGTGTCAAGCCCACTGCAAGTCTTATCATACCTCTAATTATTTGATATTGAGCACCAGTGAAAAAAGGAAATGTATGCTCATTCCTTGACTGGGTTGCTATGGGGCTAATGCACCGTCCTCTCATCCCAATTCCACGAATTTTATTCCAACATAATAAGCCAAGTGTACAAAGTGCTTTGCCCAGGTAGATGTAGCCTGAACCGAGTTTTTAATGATTAAAATATTGATAAATTAATACACTCAGCTGAAGGTGCCATTGATGCAAACGCTGGTTGGGTACCAAGTGAAAATTATGTTTTTTAAGGGTTCTCGAAGTCGGGTCTCTACAGCAGTTTTTCCACCGATTTTCCACATCCACGTGCCAGGTGCACCTAACACAATTTGCATTTTTTTTATGCCGAGGCAGCATTCAATCACCTCTAACAGCCAAACCAGGCGTGAACAACTTGGAAATCGTACAGCAGACCACTCTATGTGTATGGTCATGTATCCTCTAACTTTAGTCGACCAGTGGTGTGGCGAAGCTTCAATATGCGAACTGCGGTGTTGTATGACAACATTATAAAGTTGTGCTAATGTGTTGTAGCAGCATTCAAATACAATCGTCACGAAAGTAAAATCAAATTGACTTCTACATCAGATATTAAAAACTGGAATTAGAATTTGTGAAGAGTCAGACCCGTCCATAGAAAGCGTTCAATATTCTTACCTTTCGGATTGTATTCTGTATTGTCTTAATCTGGAGCGCCCTCTTCAGGCCCTTGAGCGATCACTGCACTATATAAGTTGGCTGGAGCCAATACATGCCTGTCTGTTTTTTTAGTATTAAAATGTGATTGTATGCTATGGGAACCCATTGACTTTGGAAACCCATAATCATCGCTGTGTGCAGCGAGGCCACGTTTTAAGTTGCATTGATTTGAAAAAAATAGCAATGTCTTAAATTTGTCTTGCTAACGTGAAGCACTGCTTGCCACCAAGTCTAATTAATATCACGATTCACTGACATTAATTTGATGCATCAACATTTCAAAGTCGTGCCTTCACCTATAAAAACAATTCCCATACGTAGATTAGGAAAATTGGTCAACAAAACAAACGCGTTCATATATTAGTCTAAAGAGGAGTTCCATTTCAGCTGAGCGCCACTTAGGAGCGCAGGATTACATTATGCTGGATTCCTCAAGAAGCATATTCACTCACGTTGAGTTATATTAACAGTCTTTACTGCCCCCTATTGATAATATACTAAACAGACATCCAATTAACCCATTTCATTCGATGCATCTCGTCGCAAGTTATGATATGACGACTGCTATTTCAAAACAAGCAGTTTGGTAAGGCCCTCGTTAAACAGTGGACTGATCATGGCTCATGATGGCCAACAACAAAGTAAAAAAAAAGCATCCTTTGTTATCAAAACAAGTCTCTTATTAAATGTCGAATACAAATTTATCGCAAGTGGAGCAGTGATTACGTAACTGACAAAATATGTTGTTTGAATATGCTATAAATGCCCTTTCTTATTATGTTCGTATTATTTGCCAAAATAAATGTCTACATATGTAGTGACATCGCGGATGTCACCGTGTAATGCAGGCCCTAGAGGCACGGCGTGCGAT